GATACAGTGAGCCAATAGGAATGAGAGCCTGAGCTCCTCGTTCCCAACAAGCGGGTGGTAGAGAGTGGCAATGGAGGATGCCCAGGGGGAACCTTAGTTCCCTCTGTTGATGTCCGACATTTCCAATTTTGTACAAAGAGGTACATATACCATGCTAGGATAGGTCCACGGTCTCACCTGTTTCACACGGGCCTTGCACGCAACAGAACAATGCTTTTGCGATGATGCAGCATTTCTCAAAGTTAGGGCACACCCCGTTTGGCACCTTTGTGTGCCGAAGGGTGCCGAGATGACCTCCCTTCGGGGGGGTGAGACTTTCGCACCCTTACCTGCAGGCTTTCGTCGTTTGCTATGGCCGCCACTGTCTGAACACTACCAACTACTATGCCTCTTGACTTGTATGTGCAACCAGTTGCATGGGTTGTGCTACAAGAAAGGAATTTTCCACGGCATGATCTGCATAGCAACCTCTGATCCACTTAGATAAGGATCTGACCTGCGTTAGAGCATACCAATGCCCGGGACTTGCATTGTGACCAGGTTTTTGCCACTCTGTGCAGTGGCCGCTGGTCACTGGTAATAGAGAAGTGAAGTCCATTTGACGACTTCGTTGAGATTTCGCTAGAGCACAAACAATCGCTGCCATGCTCTTCTTTCGAGAATTCAGGCCCATAGATAGTCAACAGTCAGCGTCTCACTTGTTTCACCCTAGTACAGAGGAAATACTACAGGATGGTGGAGGCTCGGCCTTTGGGTTGTGGTTGGTTTTGGTTTTTTGTTGTTGGTTGGGTTGTCTTTGTCCTCTTCTCCACCATCTGATTGTATTTCCCTCCCTTCAATGATGACCTGGGCACCATGCCCACACGGCGTCCGTACTCGTGGAAAAAAAAACAGTACCACCTGTGCTCTACGGTACAAGGTGGCTGCACTTTTTTTTGCACGGGTAGGGGCGCTATATGTGTGCCGAGAGGCACAAGTCACCGTGTCGAATTCGTATGAGGGGTGTGAGGAAATGAGCCTGACCAAAGAGAGCAAAGGAACCAAACCAAAACACCCACAAAACAACCCAAAACACACACAAAACAACCAACAGAAGCCAAGCAGATCAGGCTCATGTCCGCTCTAGTCTTAAAAAGCAAAAGGTGCAGATCCGAAGACCAACACAGAAGTGAAACGGGGCGATGAATTCTTTTCAAGCCGCTCCCAGTACAGGACGTCCAGGACGAAACTGCATTCTGCTTATTGGCAGGAAGGTATCCCACCGAAGGTGCACTGCGTATACGTATGCATGATCTTGCTGAAAGCAAGAGTGAGGTTCGAATCAGGTTCTTTTAAGGTCCATGCGAAGCTGGGCACGGCACAACTTGTATCAAAGAATGCGTACGCGCCAACGACCATGTGAGTATTTTCAAGGTGACCAATACTGTGTCAAGAACTCTTCACACCTGCGAGACAAAATTTTAGTCTGCTCGTGTCTTTGGCTTGGTCATTGCGCAGCCTGGGATGCCTGTCGGGGAACAAGGGAGGAGCGACAGCGGGCATTGCAGCCTCGCAGCCATGTGGAGCAAAGACCCTGGACTAGCGAGAGGTAGTGGGAGGTTCAGGATTGATGGTACAAGGTGGCTGCACGGCCATGTCCTGGTGCTTCCCAACTTTCGCAGGGGTCTGTGGTGTGCGACATTAATGTCGCAAGCTCATGCAGACTTGACGTGTGACCTGCAGCAACCTCTGTGACCTGCCCACCATACCGATCAGCGGGTGCCAAGGAGGGGCCATACACACACGTCCCATTTACTCGCTGGTGAGTACAATGAAAGGTTGGAGTGGTTGGGCTGCGGAAGAGCTGGAAGATTATCGCCAGCAGCTCCTGGCCATGGCTGCTCCGCCGGAATGTCCAACTGAAGCCTCGCAAGGTGGGTCCCTGTTCACCCCGCTCATTGGAGTGCCAATGGAAAACTCGCTCGACTTGGTGGTAGTGTGGGCATTGTGTGGCACCTTTGCCGAAAGGCGAGCAAGGGGTCAACAGTGTCCAGCAAAGTCTGGCTGCGATCAAATGGCCCAAGCGTGCTCACCCAGGAGCCCTCACCAAAGCAGGCCAAGAACGCACACCCTGGCTCACTAGGCCCGAGCTACCTTTGAACAAGGCTGCTTGTCAGTGCTGCCTCACCTGGAAGGACCTTGCAAAGCAACTTCCCTTCCGGGTGAACATCTTTTTCAAGCAAGTCGAACAGCGCCAAACCGGATGCGACCCATTTTTCATGCCTTTGGTTGAGCAAAAGTAGATGCACCTGCCCAGCTGGTTCGACCAGCACGCCAAGGTTGGGAAACCCTTCCTATCGCGCTTTTAGGCATGCCACATTACCCTGCAGCGTGGTCCCAGGAAGCGTGGAGTTGCGCGGGCAGCCGGCAAATCGCACTCTCGCCTGCATTTTTCGCCGCGCACTCGACACGCACGATCTCCGAACTCACTGGAATCCCATGAAACGAACGAATCACTGACCGTGCCTTGCGGTAACCGGCAGCCTTAGATTCTCACTTCGTGTCCCTTCACGATGATTGGTCACCTAGAGCATGCAGAATGTTCTAGTCACAGGTTCTTGGAGGTGTTACGAAGGAGTTGATGAGATCAAAGCTGTTTCAAGGTCCAAACCCACCAGACGATGCCCGTGTTCAATTCCATTTCTCGCTTGGACTGCCCGCGCAGGATGCTGTGGAAGAGGTGAAACCGGAATTTGGCTGCACCAAAGCAGTGAAGCCAAACACCTGGAGCATTCACGGCATCCTTCCAGTGATTTTGGAGCTTAGAGTTAATTGCTCTGTTGATACCCCCAAAGCAGGCAAAGCATCTACACGCCCTATGTGCTGGTGAATATGCCGTGGGTGCACAGATGTGAAGAAGAATCCACATGCTGTTGCTCTGCCAGGGTTCCAGCTTAGTCCTCGATATGAATGGAGCTGGACTCGTTTGAAATCTGGCCATTGAAGCGCCAAGAGGCAGCATTTAAGTGGCCTTTATATATGTACGGACACCCGGGATGATGGCATCCTTTGAGCACCAAGGAGGTGCTGCCCAAACACACGAGATCGCACGAGGCATCCTTGCATCATCTTCCGAAACGCTTCCACCAATACGTTATCATTGAATGATCCAGCTTAAACACCTTCCAAGCCCCCGGAATATTATATCATGCACACAAGTGATGCTGCAAAATGATCAGGGGAAGCATGGTATCAAGATGGCCTCGAAATATGTGCGAAGGCAAAGATAATGTGACATTCTTGAGCCCGAACCTAAAAGCTTGGCTGGAACATGGAAGACAATGACTGCAGAATGGCATGCATGCCACGAGCTATTGGACATTATCACCTCACAAACAACTTTTTAATGCTAGTGCACGTGATGGGTTCAAAGCTCCACAGTGATCAAGATCGTCCAAGAGGACCGGTGCTTTGTGGAGTAGGACAGGTCCAAGGCTTCGTCATTTCCGATGCTACAGTGACTGGGCCGCTTTGGCTCAAGGGGGTCCTTTTCGAGGTGAACATCACGTATGAAAAGAGAGAGAGAGAGAGAGAAGGGCACAGTACTTCAAGAGAAGGCACAGTAGATGGTTTAAAGAGATTCACCCAATATGTTTGTGCCAACAAAAGCTATGTAATTTTAGCAACGCAATATGATCTTGCAATCCTGCTTGATAGAAGCACGCAACACAGTGAAAGAACACTCCTCCGAGGGCCTGTGAAGGCCCAAAACTCCAGTGTCTCCAGCGGAACTCAAGTACCTTTACTGCGTTTGAGCTGAGCTGTCAGCAGAAACTAAAGCTGAAATGCTGAAGGAAAGGCTACAGCTGTAGGCCAGGCCAGTGACCAATTGGGGAAAGGACAGCCTGTCCACCTTTAAAGGATCGAAACTCACTCACAAGCTATGCCCTTGCATGTTCTTATGAAGCGCTGGCGTAGACACATAGCAGTTGAACACCCAGTGAGAGCTGTTATTTTTGTTCACAAAATACATAATTTTCTGAATGCTGGCTGCAAATTTGCACTCTCATCCAGATGATGGGAAGCAGAGATGCTGGCCAGGTGACGTTGGAAACGGGTGAAACCCTTCTCAGATGCTGCATTCCAGAGCGAAACGGGTGGACACCTCACACCGGTCTTGAGTCGAAACTGCTTTTGGAATCCTAGACAGACGAGCATGAGCTCCCGGCAATCACTTGAAGTTTGCTTTGGGAAGTCGGGTGAAGGCGGACGCGAAAACGAGTCAAAGCAACCCCTGCCCGCCCCACGCACCAAAAAGAAGGATAGACAACGGGAAAGAGTCTCTTTGTGCAAGAACAGGCGGCTGCTCGCCTCAACTTGAACCATGGCGCAGAAGCTCCCGAAAACGTTTGGACGTGGCGGTGAACATGTTCATCGTGGTTTTTTAGGGCTTTTGTTTCCTTGAGCAAGAGGTCTTGGCAAGCCGGAGCTGAGCGAGGCTTCTGCAGGTCTCAGCAGGCGGCGAACTCAGACCATGACCTTCACCATGCCAGTGGCTGTTGTCCTTGTTATTTTTTTTGGTGTTGCCTTCTCGTTTGCCTTTGCCCTCTGAAGGAGCTCCGGGACGGTGCCAAGACAAGTTGTTCAGCCTTGTTCAGCGGGAAAAAAACACTGAAAAAACAACTGAGTTCCGGGCTGCAGTTGGGTGATGTTCTTATATAGCACTTCAAGCGGGATCAGTGCAAGCAGCGCTGTAGCCGGGCTGTAGCCGTAGCCAGATGATTCCTTACCAGATGTTGTGGCCGGAGAATTCAATTGGATGCAGTGAGCTTTGATCTATCCTTTTCTTGCCTGGTTGCGTGTGAACAGGCTCATTTAGAGCTAGGAAGGAGAGTCGCAGAATATCATGGACATGGGCTACATGGCTCATGGGATTTGCGGATGTGCGGACCCATTGGGGCAGGAGATGTTCTTTCATCTCAAACCATCCACTTCAAACAAACAAGCCATTCAACTCAGCAATGCCCAAACGACACACTCTCACCACGCCACCGGCGATGCCCACTCGCTTGGCCCTGCATGTGCTTCTCGCGGCCTTCCACGTGGTCCGCGGCTCCGTCTGGGCGCGTGAAGACCGCGGTCTCAGCGCTTCCACGGACGTGGGCGACGACTCCGAGGACTGGTTCGAGGAGATGCTCGGGCGCAGGGTCGCCGTGCCACGGTCTTTCAAGGCGTCACCGATGACCCTCGGCGCCAGCCAGGCAGGATTGTTTGTACTCGATCAAGTAGTCTGTTTGTGGTATTCTCTTGTGAATGAGACAGGGGCCTTGATGACAACATGTGTTACTAAAGTAGTGAACGACATATTGTGAAGATGAACACTTGTGATCGTACTATATAAAGTAGTCTAATTGGTAGTCTAAACAAGCTGGGGGGCCTCGAAATTGATAGTACATTGGAGTTTAGTACCAAGTAAACGAAATTCCCTCGCTCCGATAGCGGCAGATGGTGTGCCTCAACCGATGAGCTGTGAGCGATGATTCAGAAAGACAACCATAGGCAGTTTTCATGGTTCTATGAGGCCAATCGACCTGGGCCTCTTTTTCACGACTTTTTCCCTTGGTGCCAACTAGGCACCTGCCAGCAAGACTATCCGGACTATCCCGGTTGCTCTTTTTGTTCGTCAACACACGCGCTCTCTCTCTGTTTCTTCTGTGCAACAAGCACACTGCACGGCCCTGCACGGCGGAAGGCGCTCCGCAATCATGTGAAGTCCTTCTTTCACGCGGCGAAGTTGTTTTGGGCGGAGCCCGAATCCCGAAGCGCTTGAAGCGCTATAGAAAATGTTGTTCTTTTGTAACCGTTAGTAAACTCGCACGAGAACCCCAATGCTTGGGGGGGTTTTTGGGGTTCCCGCATTCTCTTGTGGATGTGCACAAGTTCTAGGCACAAGACTATGCTGTACAGAAGCTTTGCTGGAAACTATGCTAGAGCGCTGTGTTTGGCACTTTTGTGCCACTAATATGTCGCTATGATGCTATATTAGTCTTATAGACAACGAGTTTCTTCGCGCGATGGTCTGGGAGGCCATGCGGGCTATGCACCAGATGCGGCGCTTGCAGCTGGAGGTGCGGCGCCGGTCGTACGTGGGGCATCCGCTGGGAACGTACCGTCTCGGGTCCTGAGAGATGGCTCGTCCCAAGCACTTCGGAGCTCGTGCTCTTGTTTGGGCGCCGACGTGCGCCGACTTCTTTGGAGCTCAGCTCATGTTGGTTTTGGGGCGCGAACGTTGCTGGGCAACGTCCCTGTCATGGGGACAATGTTGGAGTTCAGCGAAAGCAGGATGCCCGGTTTTCCCTTAAAAAGAGGAGCCGCCAGCTCTATGGGACATGGCCATCCACTTCCAGTATGCAATTTTGCTGGATTCTGAACTCTGCGTCGACTCCCTGGTGTGGGCATTTCTTGACAAAAGTGTTCATCCTTTGTCAAAAACAGCTTTTGATTTCAGTTTCTATGGGCTTCCGACGCCCCCGGCTCCTGAGTCGGATTTTCTCAAAAAAAAGCTTTGCAAAACATTGCATTCCATCGGTGCTGCCTTAGTTGGGTGGCCCCGGGGTGGTGTTTCAAAGGACTCGGCTCGGTTTCGTTTCGTCTCCAACATCAAGACGTCGACGTCGACGGCTCATGGGATCTAAGATTTCTGTGTTAGGAGGAATGGACATGGTAAAGATCACAGAACCTATGGACCTATGGTCAGCAACCATTCCAAGTTGAGAACATATTTGCTTTGTTCATGCCTTTCTTACAGGGTGTTGAGAGGATGTTTCTAGAAGACTTCACATTATGGGGAGATTGGCGCTTACTTAGCTTCATGTTGTGGCCAGACGACCACGAGCTCATCGACGAGCTCCACTGCGCCACGACCGGGATCGATTCGTTGCCGACGACGTTTCGAGTTTCGATCCCAAACACGTGGGCGAGTGGCTGACTGGGCAAAGACTGAGTGGGATCTCACTGGTTTAGGACTCTGAAGCCATTTTTTTGGCCTGGTTTGACTGGTGAAAAGAAGAAGTTAGATAAAGGGGCTTCACACTTGTTGGAACAGCACCTCTCTCATGCTTGACGCAGCGGAGATTCTCATGTCTGGAAATACCCTTCGCTCTGTGTAGACAACTGTTCGCTCTGTGTAACTGCGCATCGGTGCAACGCCCGAAGTTCACCAGCAAGTGCAAAACATGTGACCCTAAATACCGATGGTGAACTTCAAATCCACGATGTCAGGGAATGTATCAAGTAATGTATTTTTGAGGTCGCGAGAGTTTTTGTTGAGGTCGCCAACTGGATTTCATGAGCAGACATGCGCCTTTTTTGGAAAATCGCTTTTGGAAGACATCCTTTTGGAGAGTTCGTCGTCCGACTTGAGGGTGGAAGACTAAGTGTCTGACTCAACAGAAAGGCTCGACTTTCGCAGCGGCGAAAGCATTCTGTTCATTGGGGGTTCCACACCTATATAAAAATAGACCCTCCAGAACACTGTCAGGAGGGCACCCAAGAACGCAGACGTGTCTAGTAATGGCTCGCCCTAACGAGGCTCAAGTGGAGCTTCCCAAGCAAATACACGATTCCACATTGCCTCTTACACCTTTGTCCTGTGATGTTGCTTTCTTTCAAAGATCAGTGCACCCATGTTGAGCCCAGACTACCACGTCCTCATCGACCAGCTCTTCCTCTTCAAGTTCTACAACGGTGAGCAAAGGGTTTTAAATTCGATGTGCCGATGTGCCCCTTTTGTTTGCGTACGATTGATGCAGACTTTGCCCGTGTATCCCAAGTTTTTCCTTTGTCCATGTGCTGCTTCATAACAAAGGAGCTGTTGTCATGCCTTTATTTGCTTGGAACTATGTCACACCTGGACCTAGAAAGGGTTCTGTATGCAAGAAAGATGTAGTTGCCAGACCACCACATCTTCATCGTCCAGCTCCACATCTTCAACTTCCACGACGGTGGGCGAAGGGTCTTGAAATCCATGTTCTGTTTGCAAAGCATAGCTTCAGGTGTACAGGCAAAGGTTTACACATGATAGGTCAACATGAAACACAATTGCATTTGATGACATGGAATGTCATCCCATACATCAGTCGCTCTGAATCACTTGCAAAGAGCCAATTAGGCCAGATGTTAATCTTCATTGTTGGCCAAAACTAGCCAGCATAGAGGTTGCTAAGCAAAGAACGTCTTTCTTGGAGAATGTCAGGAGTATGTTTACAGCACATTTCGCATGATGATTTTGCAAATGGCAAATATTGGCACTCATTTCGCTACCTGCTTGCCCCATGTTGTGCCCAGACTACCACGTCCTCATCGACCAGCTCTTCCTCTTCAAGTTCCACAACGGTGAGCGAAGGGTTTAAGCTCTATGTGCCCTTTATGTTTGCGAACGATTGATGCAGATTTTGCCCGTTCATCCCAAGTTTTTCCTTAGTCCACGTGCTGCTAGCTTGCGTTGTTTACAACTATGTCACACCTAGAATGGGTTCTGTATGCAAGAAAGATGTAGTTGCCAGACCACCACATCTTCATCGTCCAGCTCCTCATCTTCATCTTCTACGACGGTGGGCGAAGGGTCTTGAAA